GACATACCTGTCGAGAAGCGTCACGTAGGCGATGGCCGGGATGGAGGAGGCGACCGACATCTTGTACGCCGTGCTGGTCAGCACAATCGCCCCCATGTACTCCAAGCGTCCTTCTACATTGGACGTCTCGTGCGCAAACTGACAGCAGCCCATCAGCACAAAGCACGCCATTGGAAAGACAACGTTGACAAGGTGGTAGTTTGGCCGCCGCGTCACCTCGACGCAGGTCTTGAGCACCGGGTACGTGCGGCCCGGCGACGGATTGAGCGTCTCGAGGTCGAGCCGCACAGGCTTGCTCATCTCCCACACATCTTTGAGCGCAAAGTGCGTTGGACGCTGCAGCTTGACGGTGAGCGGCGACCACGTGAAGCGGACGGGAGCGATGCCCTCGTTGGCGCAGTGGGAAGACAGGTGAACCTGCAGAATCTCCGAGTGGTAAGGGACGCCAGCGGAGATGTCAGATTGGAGCGGAGATCATTTCGGCTCCAAAAACTGGCGGATCCCGCCCCTCGCGGTCGCCCGTCCCACTCTCGTCGTGATCTCTCCTGCAGCGCCATCCTTTGTTCGCTATCCCTCATGCTTCTAGGGTGCCTTATCGCGTTCAAGACTCGCGGCCGTCAGGTGGCTTGAGTAAAGTTGGCACCGTTTCCGGAAGAGGTTTAAAAATCGAGCTATAGATACGCACGACCGAAAGAAAACAATGGCTCGCGGAACCTCCGCTCTAAAGTTCTGCGGCGCCGGCCTCGGTGCTGCTGGTGCTGCTGTCACCTCCAGTCCACACGGGTATTCCCGTGCTAGGACAACAAGGCCCCACGGTACACGGCGTCTCCACACTAGGCGAGTCACACGGCGCCGGCCTCGGATATGGCCGTTTCCCTGCCATCCGCCCCCAGCCTGCCGACGAGGACGTCCATCGCGTACATCAACGCCGATGCAGCGACTGAGAGGCGAGCGTGGATGCAGAAGCAGTTTGCAGCGTACAATAGTGACGTTGAGGTGCAGCGCGTTGCCACAATGGAGCAGGCGCGTCGCCAGGCAACCGAGGCGGCAGCAGACCATGTCATCTTGCTGCATGCGAGTCGGTGGGCGTGTCTGGCGCAGAGAATGGACTTGCTCGAGAGCGGAGAAGATGACCTTGCCCCGGGGGGCTCGCTTCTGGCGGCGCTGTGGCCGTGGCGGGCCAGGAAGCCCTACCGCGCGCTCTTGGCCTTCGATGACGACTTGACATTTGACGCCTTTCCGTGGAGCACGCTGCTCGCCCGCCTCTCGTACGGATGGCCGCGCGTGGTGGGCATTCCGCGCGAGGGGGCTGACCTTACCCTGAGCTCCAGAGACCTCTACCTCACCAGCGCCGCCGGCT